CAGAGGTTAGTCACCGTCCTCACTCAGACACCTCCAGCAGTCATCATTGAGCCCTACAAGTTCTCACTTTGTCCAACCTGTGCTACTTTCTAAATCATTAAGAATGTGTTGACGGACTGACTATAAGCTCTACACATCGCACCCTGTCCCATGCAGGAACATGGAGAAGGACTCACATGGGCCTTCTGCTCCACCTCAGTATGATCCTTAGGGCATCAGTCCATGGAACCATCCTCCTGTCCACAGCACACATCCATTCTGAGAAACACAGGGCACAGGAGAACACCACTAATGGACACGTGCCCTAAGTTGACTCTGGCACACTGAGACTCTCCATCAATCGCCCTTGGTGGGAGATACTGAAGGATCTCAGGTGCCACAGGTATTCACAGTCCTCACTCATACAGATCCGGATGTCATCATCAATCCAACAGCTTTCCTCCACCTTTCCCACAACGGTTACTCTCAGATTCATTAATTTATACTTGACTGGTACAGTCCCCATGCTAGCCAAACCATCCCACTCACGATCATTCAACCGGACTCACACTGATGGGCAGCTCCTCTCAGGGAGGTCCTAAGGGCACCAGACCACGGAGCCATCCTCGTGTCCACAGGCCAAGTCCAATCTGAGGAGCAGAGGGCAGGAAATGGGGCAAAAAATGAAGTTTCTCCCCGCTTTTTTTCTGTCATATTCAGAGTGTTATATAATCTTCTTGCTTTTCTTTTAGTGCAGAATCTCAGATCCAAATGCTTGTCTCTTTCCCCACTCATATACCTCTGCATCATAATCCAACAGGATATGTTCTTTTTACTTCCACCCATTGCTAGTGTAATTTAAATTCATTATTTCATTAATTTGATAATTATAAATGTCATTATTCATCAAGTCTGATGTGTCTTGTTTTCTTTATTCTGCATTGGAACCTTTGTAATTTGACACCTCAGTGCTAGTCAAAATTCTCACAGATACACAATCAATCTTCAACTTTCTGTTATTTCTTTAATTACCCAACTTTACATTTTTCATTTTGCTTTACATCTTTTAATAATTCTGTCAATAATTTTATGCATACTACCCCATATCAAGCAAGAATTCCTACCACACCTCACATTGGTGTATAACTCCTCCTCACAATGCATCGTCTTCCTGTCTGCAGGCCATGTCCACTCTGAGGTGGAGAGAGCACATGAGATGATAGCTGTTTGTATGTGTTCACTACTGCACTCTGCTTTTTCCTACTATTTGTTCCTTATTTAGATATTCATTATTCTACCTTTCCTCTTCCAGAAAATGTATATGTCTGAACTTTTGAGTGAACTAGCTATAAACATTGTTGAATAATATCTATGCTGAATTTTCTAAATAGATGTTTATTATGTGTCTTTTATGTTTTAGATTGTTTTAGTGTACGTTAACAGTATACATTGCCTCACCAGGTTTTACTGATACGGCATTTTTTTTACATAACCTATCTTTATATTCTTATATATTGGTTCTTTTATTAATCTTATTACAAAGGCATAAAAATGCATGATATGAGGTACAAGGCAAATACAGGCTATTTCCCTTATCTATCTGTAGGATTTTCCAGATCGAGGGCATGGACCATTTGTATTGATGGGCCTTTGATAAATATTTGCTAATTTTTTCTTCGTTGTACTAGTGACGGCTCTGAGGGCATCACATATGCAGGTAAGAGTTCCATCCCTGAGCTGTATCCAACCCTTTATTGAGGAAGGGAGCAGGGGGAGGAAGGGAGGGAAAACGAGAGGGAAAAAGTAAGTGGTGGGGATTGAAGTGAAACAAATGATATTCCATGCATGTATGATAAGGGAAATGAACACTGTTATGTGTAACTCAAGTGCTCCACGGAAACAGAAAAAATAATTACAACACTGAATATTGACATGTGACAAATATTAGAAGGTAAATATATTTCCCAATCCTTTTTAATTAGAAAAATATACTCACCAATGTAGTACTTTAGACAAAAATAAAAACAGTAACTTTTATTTTGAGACAGGTTCTCACTAAGTTTCTGAGACTGACCTCAAACTTCAAGTCCTCTTGCCTCAGCCTCCGGAGTAGTTGGGAATACAGGCATATATCACTCACTGTGCATGGCTTGTCTGATATTTTTTAATGATGCTATGTGGACTCTCAAGAAGTTGACTGTACCCAATGATGGGTATATAGCTCAGTGCAGAGCACTTGCCTAGCATGTGCAAGGCCCTGGATTCTAGGATATCCCTAGAACCATACAAACAAGAGAAATAAAATGAAAGAAATGACTGAACTCAAGACAAGAACACTGTCTATATGACTCTTTTTGTATAATCTAATTATGAAAGTAAAATAAAAATCTATGAACAAAAGATAAAAATCAAACACACTCTATATTTCCTACCATCTGTGTGCAGCATCCTCCAAACAGAAAGATTGATTCAGATTTCATTAAGAAACAAACAAAAAAATGATCTCCTCAGAAGAAAGAAGTAACAGGAGAATGTGATATGGCACAGTGCTTAATTTAGCTTAGCCAATCTCCTCTGCAGGCTACTTCAAGGAGATAACAATAAAAAGATTGGGACATTCTGTCCACTGACCCATAATTTCTATCTCCAATTTACATGTCACTTAGATATTTATTAATTTAGGGTAATATTTGCTTACTTTTCTTCTTAGAAAGCTTCAAACATGGACAGAACTCGGGGCAATCACTGTTCCTTAGTGCATACACCATTGTTAGTCAACAAAGCTATCCACCTGCTCCATCTGTCATCCACTCCAGCGCGCACTGGCATTCCCGCTTGCTACTGCTTTAGCCACGAACAATGTTTCACCTCTTCATTTTTATTCACTTATACGTTTGTTTTCATACTACCATTGATATTTTTTGGATGACATTTTCAAAGCTCATGGACAAGACCACGAACCAGCCCTTGGGTATTCCTGTCCCCATCTATGGCATCACACTGAATATGGGCAAGGACTAGATCCTGTGTGAGTGGTGTCCAGTGCTTCACATGGAACATCCACAGCACAGCCTCCCCTGTCTTCTGCATCTCAGGACTGGCCCTCTTTCCCAGCATGCACATCTACTCTTCTTTATGGAATTACCAATCCACTTAAAGCTGGGTCAAGTGGAGGCACCCCCAGTCCCAGCTACTCAGGAGGCTGACGGAGAAGATTCCTTGAGACCAGGAGTTTGAGATCACCTAGGGCAACATAACCTTGTGAGATCCCAGAGGGCAGAGGTTGAAGAGGGGGAGAGAGACCAAGAAGGAGACACATGCAAATCACAAAAAGAGCAAGCTCTTTGATGTCCCTAGAAGTCAATCACATTATATTTACAAAAACCTAAAATCTTTCATTAATGAAACTTAGGCTTCTTTTATACATTAAAGTAAGATTTCATATTAACATGTGAAATATTAATCACTGGCATAAACCAAGACAACCACCAAATATGACCCATGCTGATGTCTCTGTTCGGAGCCTGCTGAGGCAAGAGCTCACCACCATAGGGATCACCCTTGAATCAGCACAGGTACATCCACTCCAAGGAGCACAGAGCAGAGCTGAAGACTGAAAACACTGAGACATTCTGTCAACTGATCCCCAGGCCTCCCTCTAATTACCTAGTCTCCCAGGTTATTTGTGATGATATTTATTTTTCTCTTAACAAATCAAACACTAAATGTATAAATATCTCAGATCAAACAGTATTATGTATTCCCTTTCCATTACTATATTTAGTCAAAGACAATATACACAGGAGGAGGAAATACATTTGTTCCATTATCATTCATTCCACTTTATGATTAATATTATTTTACTTATTATATAGTTTAACAATGAACATGGTTACCACCTTTATGCATCATATGTTCGCTTATGTGGCCACTGATACCATTGATTCCTTGTAATAACATCATGATGAATTCATCAACACAACAGCCTAACACAAGATCCTTGTATGTTCCTGGCAACACTTTTTAGGATGGGTCACATGGAGGGAACAGACTGTCGACTCACCTTGGTCAACATGTTCCGAACACACAGAGGGAGCTGCAGAGCTCCTGCCCCAGAGAGAGTGCTAAAGTCAACTGGAGCATGTCCATCCTGGAAAGTAGAAAACAGAGGAGGGGATAAAACCGGGGCATCCTCCCCAGACCCCTGCTCTGTGCAGAATCTATCATCTAGCCAGTCACACGTGCAAAATCATTCCTTAAAAGGTCGGCATTTCATTTTCTCTTAAGAAAGCGAACAACTTTGAAATTGCCATTGCCACAAGAGTACCTTATAATTCATTCTGTGTTAAGAACAAAAACCAAGCCCATAACTTCGTGCCCAGCATCTCCCTATGGGACCCCTCTGAATGGGGAATGGACAAGAGTCCTTGGCATTGGACCTCAGAGTTTCAGACACATGTAGTCATCATGCTTGACTCACACACCACCAGTCGTCATCATCGGTCCAGGAAGGGGCCATTTGTTCTTGACTTATTTCTAGATGATTTGTTGATTAATTCAGAAATTCACTAATAATAATTTTAAAGCACTATGATCCACAAAACCCATGAGGAATCCTAATATCCCTAACTTGCACATGAAATCATTCTCTGGTCAATATCTCCTTTACTGGGCGGGGGCTCTAGTTCAGTGGTAGAGTGCTTGCCTTGCAGGTGTGAGGCCCGGGGTTCGATCCTCAGAACCACATAAAAATAATTAAACAAATAAAGATAGTTTGTCCATCTACAACTAAAAAAAAAAAATTTTAAAAAGTATCTCCTTTACTAAAAATCCTCACTTTTCATAAATGAATTAATAAATAGAGTACTCTGTGTGCACCCTGTGCTTGTCATTGGACCCTAGCGGGCCCTCTCCATATGGCACAGCTTTAATGCTACAGTGAACATCCTTAAGCCAACACAAGGGCACCATGACTCACATCAGTCTCCAAACCCATGAAGGATGCACGAACCATCCTGAGGGAGTTCCTTCCAATGTGTACATCAGAGCTGTAATCAGTGATTTTGAGTACATCATTCCCTTTCTCTCAAGAAAATGAACAACCTCAAACTTGCCACTGACCCAGAACACAAACCCTGCCTGTAATTCACACTGTATCATCATCAGCCAAAGAGCTGCCACTCAAGTGCCATTCATTTCTTATTGCCTTTCATGTTTCCAATGTACATTAATCATTCTTCTGGCCTCATCAGAAAATTCTGTACTTCAGCAATGCTTCATCTATTTTATGTCGACTTATTTATCTATTTGTTCACTGATTCTTTCATTGATCAATAATAATGGTAGAAAGACAGTGTGTGAAAACAAAGACAAGATTGTCTTTATGTTGGGCCTCAGAGTGTCATACATACATTTTTAATCTTTGACTCACACTAGCATGTCTTGTTGGCCTGGGGAAGGCCCACAATTTCTTCATTCATTTCTGAATTATTTAATTGATTAATTCAGTAATTACAATTTTAAAACACTATGAATGACAAAGGTCCAAGAAGAGACTTAAGATCCCAAATACTCAACTAGGATCATTCCCATTATACTACATCCCTCTCACTCATTACCCTTAGTGTTTCTGATATACATTAATCAATAATACCTCATATGAATCCCTTATTTGCCACTAGGCAACAATTTGCCTTTATTTATTATATTTCACGCTTTTAAATAATCAGTGTTTTCAATCTCCATAGTTTCAGTTACTCAGGATGGCAATGATCCAAGAATATTTAATTAAAAATTTCAGGAAAAAAAAATCATGTTTTAAATAACTTTTATTCCAGTATATGTGATAACAGCTCTATTTTATCATCAGTTATTGTGGACCACTAACTGCTCTTAATTTATAATTCAACTATTTTAAGTACATGCATACAGGGAAAAACATAAGTGTGTGTAGGGTTCAGGGCTGTATCCAGTCTTGGCATTCACTGGGGGTTCTGAAACACATCCCAGATGAACCAGGAGAACTACTGTGTCCTTAAATAAGTCCCTAAATCAGGGGTAAGAACATCAGCTACACAGTGCTCTCCAGGTTCCTAACATAACATGCAACCCAAGCAGAGCCCTTCAGCCCGGGGAGGGGTGCATTCTGAGGAGTGTGAATGAGAGCAAGTGCTTTTTAAATGAGGACATTCTGTACCCTGGTCCTTGTTTTTTACCTCACATTTAGCCACTCACTGAGGTAATCAGTAATTTGAAATATACATTCCATATGAAAACGAACAATTTTGCACATACTCCTGACAGAAAATGAACCTTTGTCTATAACGTACTCTCTCTAAATTATCCTTTGCCAAAAAGGTGAGCACTCGTGGGGCTCTCCTTAAACTGGACTTGGGGTTCACATTACTTTAACAGTTTTCTGGAATCATCCATGTTTTAGTTCATTCACGTCTATTTATTTATATTTATTGATGGGTCGTTTCATAGGTATAAGCATGACAGTTTGAAGACACATGGCCACAGGTACGAGACCAAGGCTCCGTGAACCCTGACACCTGCCTACAGGATCCCACCCACAGGAGGGGATGCGTTTTCCACTCTGACCTGAGCTCCAGGCACCTCTTCCACACATATGACGTATATGGCCCCTGCAGTCATCACTGGCCTAGACTGCCATCTTCCACCACTGTTACCTGACTTCTTTCATGATTCATTTGATTATATTTGGTAATGAAAATTTGAGAATATAAATTAAAAATTTTTAAATGCTACCATTCAGAAGAGTTAGGAACGTCTTTTTGTATTAGAAGAGGCTTTATAACCCTGATCTGCACACAAAGAAGTACTCTCCTATTATTATGTCCTTTGTGTGTATTATCCTGTTTTGTGGCTACATTCATTAATACAAAGCTTCAATATCCATAGATGTCACAAGAAACAATTGTGTTCTTTAACTACTTCAATCTCTTTTTCTGAAAAAAGTAAGATTTTATTTATGTAGAATTAAAGCAGGCAAAGAGTTGAAAAATAAGCAAATAGAGGATTTTCTTTTTCTTTTTTGAATTTATATTTATATGGGGCTTAAAAGAGCAACTTAATTTAATTTCTAAAATTTTTATTTGTACAAGTTAATTATCACAATTAAAAGCCTTCTGTAATCCTGAATCTCACCCCTGAACAGAATCAATTGCAAATATTTCTCTGTGTTTTTAGGTATTGTTTCTATTTCTAAAACATATGTTTCCCAGGGCTGGGGTTGTGGCTTACAGGTAGAGTGCTCGCCTAGCATGCATAAGGCACTGGGCTCTATCATCAGCACATAGAAAATAAAGATGTTGTGTCCACCTAAAACTAAAAAGTAAATATTAAAGGAAAACAGAATATGTTTCCTGTACCTGCCAAACTCATTTTCTTCTTGTCCTTCCAGGTTTTGCTTTCAATTTTGAACACTATCGATTACCTGGGTCCTAATGTAGACATTTCTCTATGAGAAGATTGATACTAAATGCTTTTATCTCCTACCAAACTCCAAATCAAAATATCACACTTTTAATAATACATTCATAATCGTAGGATGAAGAAAGACCCTGACCTGAGGGAGAGAACTTTAACCATTACTCACACGAATCCCAGCACTCTTAAGCAACCACAGCTAGTGACCAGGGAAGAATGTAAGTCACCTCAGTGCCTCATTCCAAGAGTCAAAAGGAAGCTCTGTGTGCACTGATGTCTATGTTCTTCATTTCATTCATGCAGTCACTCAGCTGTTTATTACTATTTCATTTGTGCTGTGTGTGTTTGTGTGTATGCATATGTATGTGTATATTTTGTGCTTCTGTATGAACACATACGCGTGCATGCACATACATCTTACAAAAGGAATATCTCCATCTTGAGCCTGACCCAGAATAAGAAAACTGACTCTTATTTACTGTCTATACAATTCTTACCTAAAATGGTAACATTGTTTCTAAATAGCCATAAAGTGTTATACATTTTAAACAATATTTCTATTTTAACTTCAATATCTGCACATATAACCAATATTTCCTGCCTCAATGTAAATGTTCATAAAGAATACATCACCTCTTCTCTATGAATTTATTACATTAGCTTAATGACACATTAATAATGAACCTATTGCCATAAATGCAATGACATCATGTGTATACATCCCTGATTTTTTTCTAGAGTCAATTCCAATAGAGAAAATGGACTAATTCTGCAGTGTGTTGGACCTCAGAGTTTCAGACACATATTATTCATAGTCTGTAACACAAATTGTCATCATTGTTATCACTGGTCCCTGACTGGATTTCTGCATTTGTTCTGATGTTCTGATCAATAAAAAGGTTATAACATTAATAACAACAAAACTGCATGGTTTACAAAAACCAAAAAGATCTTTGGACATCAGTCTAAGAAACAATTATCAACATAAGAGTAAAATTAAACAGAATAACTTAATGTTTAATCTGATACTAATAATTAGGTCATGGTAAATATTTTATTCACTTAAAACTTTTTAAGTTTTTAATTGAGAGATAAGATTCCTTCAGTGGATGAATGGATAAAAAAATGTGGCATGTATACACAACAGAATTTTACTCAGCAATAAAAGAGAATAAAATCATGACATATGCAGGCAAATGGATGGCGTTGGAGAAGATAATGCTAAGTGAAGTTAGCCAATACCCAAAAAAAACAAATGCCGAATGTTTTCTCTGATATAAGGAGGCTGACTTATAGTGGGGTGGGACGGGGAACATGGGAGGAATAGATGAATTCTAGATGGGGCAGAGGGGAGGGAGGGAAAGGGAGGAGGCAGGGGATTAGCAAGGATGGTGGAATGTGATGGACATCATTATCCAAAATACATGTATGAAGACACGAATTCGGTGTCAACCTACTTTATAAACAAACAGAGATATGAAAAATTGTGGTATATATGTGTAATAAGAATTGTGATGCAAAAAAACACACAAGTACATGTATAAAGACATGAATTGGTGTGAACATACTTTATATAAAGATATAAAAAATTGTGCTCTATATGTGTAATAAGAATTGTAATACATTCCACTGTCGTGTATTTAAAAAAATAAAATCCATAATAAAAAAAAGAAAAAAAAAGACCTATGTATTCCTCATGTATAACATTGTACAATCTATACAGATTGTACAATGACTAAATCTAGCTAATCAATATATGCATTACCTCATATATTTATGAATTTTGAGGTGAGAACATAGAACGTCTCCTTTCATATATTTTAAAAATATAATATATATTATTAACAACAGCATAATATTGTGTAACATACCTTTTGAATTTATTTTCCTTATTGAATTAACTTAATAGTATTTCATTTACCATGAACACACTCAAATGAGTAAAGCTAAGAAAGAACTTTGGCAAAAACTCACCTTAAGTCTTTCTTAACTCAAAGGAAGCATGACATTTTTGGTCACAAGAGAAGCTTCAATCAGGTGACTGCGTCACTTCCA